TATTAAATAAATCATGATCAACATACTGTCTTATAAATTTAACAAAAAAAGTTATTATTTTTAATAGAAGGACAATAAATTTAAAGTCCCACAAGAAAATAACGAGCTAGTATAGTTTTTTAACAAAATTCAAGTTCACGCTTTCAAAAAATTCTGATGCTAATCTTACTTGATCCAATCATGCAAATACAACCAGCCACTAAATAAAATAAGTGCAATGATGAAAAAGGACTCAAACGGGAAGAATCAAACCTCACAACTATGTAAGAAGGATCCTCCCGGAAATAAAGTCATCAAATTGTGAAGCATTTAAATGATACATAACCAAGAAATATGCACATAATAATGCTAAAAAAAAAATTCAACATTTTTTTTGAACATTTGAATCATTAAGGTAGTAAATTCACACACACATCACATACGAAAATTTTGAACCTAAAATCTTTTGATTAATAGCCAAAATCTCCAACCAACATATTAAAATGAATCTTATTCTCAATGTCTAATGAACATACATGTCATAAAGAAGAGACAAAATATAAGAATTTTTTCAGAATTAAAAAAATATACCGAAAATAGCATTTGAAAATATTTCCATAAATAAATCCACCTTTAGAACTTTGCAATAAATCCCAAAATAATGCGGCAAGCAAGAAGGCATATGACACCAAAATAGTGGCAATTCGCTGTAGTCATATGATTTTGAACTCCATTTATGTTTTTAAAATTCAATGGACTAAGTAGACTACTCAAAATACTAGAAAATGCATCCCATCCCATTCAAGCTGTCAATATAAGCATGTTAACAGAGTATAAACTAATAGACTAAATTAAAATAGACAACTAATAATTTATCATACTTCCATCACATATGTAGAGATTTTCATTACTAAGTCAAACCAAAAATAAAACATTTATCTTAACTCTGCAAACATAATTCTGTTCACATAACCATTTAGATTTAAACGGACATCAGATTGCCTTTTTTTGCTCTGAAGCTGCTATTAAGTCAAAAAGAAGAATTTGGTGGAAAGGGAAGTGAGGGCATCAATTATGATACTTGCCAAGTGGAAGAAAATCTAAAATACAATAACAACAACAACAACAACATCAAGTTTTTGTTTCACTACATGGAGTCGGCTACATGAATCTTTTTTCTCCATTATGTCATGTTAAAAGTCGAATTCTCGTTTAAATCTAATAAAGAAATATCATTTCTAATATTTTCTAACCAAGTCTTTTTAGGTCTACCTCTACCTTTCTAAATATAAGTCGAGTCTAACACCTCTACTTTCCTAACTGGGTCATCGAAAGGCTGTCGTTTTATGTGACCAACCATCTAAGGCGACTCTCTCTAATCTTATCTTTTACTGGAACTACTCCAACCTTTTCATGTATATGCTCATTTCGTATCATATCTCTAAGGGTAAAGCCACTCATCCACCTGAGCATCCTCATCTATGCAACACTTAACTAAGTATTATGATTCTCTTTTAATGGCCAACATTCGACACCATAAAGCAATGCAGCTCTCAATTCCATCTTATAGAATTTTTTCTAAAGTGTGAGGGGGACTTTTCTATCACACGATAAGCTAGATGCATTCCTCCACTTCAACCATACAACTTGAATTCTGCTGATAAAATCCCAATCTATTTCACCATCACTCTAAACAATAGATTCAAGATATCTAAAACGTGTACTCTTATTAATGACTTGATCAACTAAAGTCACAATCCCCTCACTAGGTCTATTACTACTAAAATTACACTCCATATATTCAATTTTAGATCTACTCAAGCGAAAATCTTTAGACTCTAAGGTTGACCTCCATATTTCAAGTTTATCTTTAGCTCCCTCTATAGTCTTATCAACAAGAAGAATATCATCAGCAAAAAGCACACACCAAAGTACATCTTCTTGCAAATGTCTAGTGAGAACATCCATGACTAAAGCAAAAAGATATAAGCTTAAGGCTGATCCTTGATGTAATCCAACCGAAATAAGAAAATATTTGGTCAAACCACCTTGTGTTTGAACACAATTAATAACTCTTGCATACATATCTTTAATGATTTGTATATAAGCATTATTAACTCCTTGCTTTTCAAGAGCTCTCCATAGCACTTCTCTTGGAACTTTATCATAAGCTTTCTCAAAATCAATAAATATCATATGTAGATCCTACTTATTTTCTCTATAGTTCTCCATCAAACCTCTCAATAAATGTATGGCTTACATAGTAGACCTACCCGGCATGAATCCAAATTGATTTTGAGAAACATTAGTATCACGCCGCAACCTACGCTCCATAACTCGCTCCCACAGTTTTAAAGTATGATACATTAACTTAATTCCTCTATAATTTACACAATTTTGTGCATCACCTTTATTCTTAAAAATAGAAATTAACACACTCATTCTCCACTCATCTAGCATCTTTTTATTCTTCAAAATAATATTAAAAAATTTAGTAAGCAAAGAAATTTCTTCATCTCCTAAGCATTTTCACACCTCTATTGGAATATCATCATATCCAACAACTTTTTCACACTTTATTTTCTTTAAAGTCTCTCTAACTTCAATTTTACTAATATGCCGATATAAACATAAAGCTTTATTATCATTTAGGGTGCTAAGGTCACTAAAATCAATCGTATTTTCACATTCTTCACTAAAAAGTTTAGCAAAATATTTCATCCGCCTTTGTTGAATATCATCTTCTAAGAATAATACTTTTTTATCTCCATCCTTAATATACTTCACTTGAACTAAATCATTACTACTCATATCTCTATATTTGGCTAACTTATACATGTGTCATTCTCCCTCCTTAGTATCTAATCTATTATATAAATCATTAAAAGCTAAGATATTTGCATCGCATATTTCTTTCTTAGATTCCTTACGTGCATCTTTTTATCTTTCCCAAGTATCAGAATTTTTTCATATAAACCAATTTTTATAACAAATCTTTCTATTTTTTATCTTTTTTTGCACATTTGGATTCCACCACCAACCATTTTTACAATTAGGAGTTTTTCCCTTTGATATTCAAAATACATCTTTTGCAATAATCTTAATATCACTAGTCACTTATTCCCACATAACATTAGTATCCTCATGCACATACAAAATCTTAATATATAAAATATTACTCTTAGAAATACTTTTGTTAATATTTTTTAAATGTTTCATCTAATCCTAGAATATTATCTTACTTTATTTTTTATTTTTTGTTCATTTATCTTAAAATTCAAAACTAATAATCAATGTTATGTACATAAATTCACTCGGAATAGCTTTACAATCTAAACGATCTAATTTTCTTACAATAAAATAATCAATCTGAGTTTTACTACATCTATTTTTATAAGTGATGAGATGCTCATCTATTTTCTTAAATAAGGTAATAGCAGTTAAAAAATCATAACCTAAAGAATAGTCTAATATGGTCTTACCACATTCATTTGTCATTCTAAACACATGGTCTTTTTGAATGCTTTTTAAATCATCTACATCTCTACCAACATGTCCATTTAAATCTTCTCCAATAAAAAACTCTTTCTTCAAGAGGTATCTTTTGTATTATTCCAAAATTTTAATTTTGCACTCATATCCAAATCTACTTAAGGAGCATAAATACTTATAATATTAACAATCTTAGCATCAACAATAATTTTTAAAGCTATAATTTTATATTCAATTCTATTAATATTTTTAACATCATTCTTCAAACTCTTATCTATAATTACACATACACCATTTGTATTACGGCTCCTTCCCGAATACCATAGTTTAAATCACAAGCTATCAATCTTCATAGTCTTCTCTTCAATCCATTTAATTTCCTGAATACACAGAATATTTATCTTCCTATGAATCATAATATTTATTAATTTCATTAATTTTTCTGTAAGTGAACCTATATTCCAAATTATTATCCTAATTTTAGTTTCAAGAATTATCTTCTTTGCTCACATCCACCTGGGAACCCTTGTCAATTTAACATTGCACCCGGGCGCCGGTGTAGCGGTCCTTGCACATTTGTTGCTATATTCATGTCATACAGCACATCGCTTCCAGAGGACGTCATAGCATTAACACAATTTTTTAAAGGATTCATGTAATGATTATTCGAGAAGTTTTATGCTGGCTGCCGACTACCTAACGCAACCCTCCACTTTTCTCATCTAAGACTTTGGACCTGATAACGACAGTGTTAAGGAAGAAAATCTAAAATAAAAAATAAAAATAAGAATAAATAGATAAGAACTTAAAATCAAAAGCTGCAGATTCATAATCAACTCAAATTATTTGGATTTCATTTTGTTTCCTTCACTTTCGTTCAATCCAAACAAAGCACAAAAAAGGGACCAAAACCCAAAAGTAAATGGTGCTTAGTAATCATTTACATAAAATATCTTCGCATGTTAAAGCATCATTTTTCAATAATGGACAAGAAAATTCGACTATGTACATGGCTCAAAGTCTTCACAATAGACAATGACAGTACAAAATAAACGGACGAAACACAACTGCTAATACCCAGAATAGTGCAATCCACGATGTAAGAAAGGCACGACTAAAACAAGTCATGGAGCACATAGTTAAAACTTGACATTTGGCAACTTTAAACAAAAATACTTGATACTTCACATCTATATTTTGTTGGCAAATAAAAAAAAAGTGTGAAAAAAATTTAAAAACAAAAAAGATCAACTCACAAAAACGAGAATTTTATATAAATTCACCCAATTAAAAACTAATCTTATTGTTGCCTCTATAAAGTTTACTATGATCTAATTATGGAGAATTGCAAACCTAGTTCCTCTATATAAGTATAAATTATAAAATGACACCCCCCACCCCCTCTTTCCATAAGAAAATAAAATTGGGGCTGCTGAAAATATAATAAAATTCTTAAAGTATCATTAATGAAATAAGTAGCAATAATGGATATCTTTTAGATGTTTCATCGCCTGAGCCCCAGAATGATATGATTGCGAAGATTGACCAACAATTAAATCTATGTGGTATGTTTTCTTCGTAGAACAAAAATTAGGTTCGATAACTTAACAAGTACATGTTATTATATCACTTACTGTACATCAATTGTAGATTGAAATTTCTGGAAGAATGCTATGTTAATTTCATAGAGAATCTTAACCCATTCTACATGATCATTAAGCTGTGGTTCCTCTTGACACTTTTTGTAGAGGAGAAATCAGATATGAACAAGAGGCCCCTGATTGGAATGCCAATAGCCTTCACTTCTTCAGCATTCGACAACTCAGCAATGGCTCTTCTCTACATTCTTCCGCTTACTCTAACAAAAATTCACAAGCTGTTGGCCACCGAGCCACCTCCATTGCTGTTGGATGAGCTCGCAGGCAGTCCAGGTGGGGAAGAGCACCTACTCGAGCTGCTCCCATCTAGATTTTCGCTAGCCTTACCCTGAAGCTGCCGCGACCGACACCCTTTCCTCCCTTCTGTTAACAAATTCTGCAGAATACTAGACTTTTTAACAGAAAAACTACTTATTGCACCTAGTCAAAGATATATCCTACAGTGCATCTAGTCAAAGATAAATCCTACAGAAAATTCTAAATTAATTAGAGAAGAAAAGTATTCATCAAACCTTGGAAAATACAGATGAGCAAATTTGAATAGACAAAACAAGGGAAAAGTATGAGGTAGTTAACATTCTGTCAGAATCAACAAACTACAATACAAACAAAAGTTGGACCCTGCTGACTTACCGCTGGCTTGGAATTACAAGGTTTTGCAGATCCTGGCATCTTAAGTTCCAGCTCTGTCACAACATCACTGAAATCAGTACTTCTATCTGAACCACTGCACCGCAACCAATCTGAGGATCCACTTTGGGATTCATGCCGACTTGTATTATGATTATTATCATTACTTGGAATGGGATGAGGGGGGAGGTGTTGGCTGGGTTGCTGCTCAACATAGGGACTTCTTGAAGAAGTGTATGGGTGATAGGAAGAACAATGACTGGGAATGGCTGCGGGCCTTTGATTTTGAAAGAATGGGTAGAGGGGAATTGGCGCATGAAATGGCATTGGACCTGAGGCTACTGGAACAGGAATGGGGAATGGATATGCAGAAGGCGGTCCCATAACAACTGAAGGATCAACCGTGGCCCAAGGATACAGACATCCAAGTCTTTGCTGATGCTGAGCATTCAAGTTTTCAATTTCAGATTTTAAAACAGATTTTTCTTCTCTAAGCTCATTCTTCTCTTGCGTCAACTGAAAAAATTAAGAAAGTGGAGAACGCAAATAAGAAATTGAAAAGTTTGTAGTTTAAAATTACGGAATTTCAGATTATATTTACCCACCTCTCTTGATTCTTCAGATAATGATGTGTGTTCAGCTTTTAGTTTCTGTACTTGAGCAGTCAAATCTTTCAGCATTAGGACTGCATCTCCAAGAATGGTAGCCTTGTCATTCTTTGGCCGATCAGGATCTGTAATTGAATCAACATCCATTCAACATAAGTTCAAAAGATTAAGGAAAGAAATGGTAGAGCAAAGTGCTGAATGGATCCAGTAAATAGTTAATTAGTTCCATAAAATGGAAAAGTAAAATGAAAAAATTTTCCTACCACATAAACTTGCTAAGTAAAACTCCATCTATGATTAGTTCTTTGATTTTAAAATGCCAAGAAAGAAATCTGTATGGTAAATTTGAAATTAGACGTTTTACTCATGGATGCATTAAATAACTTCTCTATTAGTTTAAGGACATGATCAACTAAAAAAAAAAAGAATGAATGACGTATATGATGCAATTATTTTATGCATGCAAAAGAAATATCATTGAAGAATCCAACTATCTGGGATCAATCTTATAAATCCTTATTTTCATTCGTTCCAGTAAAGTGTTATCTTAGGTGTTAAACTTATTATTTATAAATCATTTTGCAGAACTTCCATAATTGTATCTTAAATCTACCATTTTCTTCCCAATCCATTGGCTAATTTTATTTACTTATGTGATAGATATATTTTACCATTCTATTTTGGCAACTCCAATTATTCTAAGAATATAAATATTCATTAATTTGTCCTTCCTTATCTTGCTAAACATTCACCTTAACAATCTCATATCATCGATACTCAATTTAGATATCCATAAATGGGGGGGATTTACATACATGCCACTAATTTATTTTCTACTCAACTCTCAAATCCAGACAAATCAAGAGCCTAGTTACATCTCTATGAAATTCATCCTTAAAAATATTATGAAATAATCAATTATGATAACTGTATAAGAGATACTCAGATATGATAGTTAAACGAATATTGGTTCTAAACGAATGGAGGTATAGATTAAATATTTTTAGTTGGGCTAAACAAGGAAATATAAATAATGGTTATTAGTGGGGCCATACGTGTGCCTGTAATTGTCATAAATAGAATGGCAACAAACTTATACAAACTTTCAAACACCTCTTTCAAATAAGTTTTCAAAACTAAGTGCGTATGCATGGCCACCACTGCAGTTTTATGCATGCTAAATCAGAACTTTACAAGGTACTTCTAAAGTTTAATTATTTAGATTTAGGGTTTCTCAATTAGGGTTTTGATAAAAACCACTCATGTGAGAAACCAGCAATCAGTAATGCAGAATTCACCCCACCCAGCGAGCTCCCAGTTTACTCATATGCAGGCAGGGATATGATAAGGCAACCTTTGCTTCCCATAGGGATCAAGTAATATACTCAATGTTGGTGGAGAGAGCAAGAAGAATTGAGAAAGCAATATGTTGCTCGATAAAGAGACTGTAACTAAAGAAGAAGCTCAAGTCTAATACAAGTGGTGATAGTGGCAATGTCACCAGTAGTACTATGGAGATTTGTGATAAGTATAGGAAGCTAAATTAAAGAGTGTTTTTTGACTCCAATGTATGTTATTAGTGTCTTCAGTCAGAGAACTAGACGAGGAATAGCACACTTAGAAATCCATACCAAAGGTAGCTTTAGGAAGCACCATCACAAAGAAGTTTTCATGAAGGATCTGTTAGATGGGAGACAGCTATTTAGCATGGTGCATTGGCCCCAAGTATGGTCAGCCAAGACAGAATGTGCAACATGAGTCTATGCCTTAATTCAACAGGATGCTATGCAATCTATTTATACCGCTAAAGGGTATGTTACATAAATAAATGATTGGGAGGATTTTAGCAATTATGCATCTGATATCTATGTTAATATATACATATAAAATAAGGGATTTCGGGTGATAGTTTTCAAGATAAAAATGAGAGGGATAGTTGATCCGTTTTCATAAGAGGGGGGTGCCGGAGGAGCAGCAAGGGAGTGAGAAGATGAGACTAAGAGACGAGTGAGCAAAAAGGGGGAGCATACGTTTGTGAGCAAGCATTGTGAGTGTGGGTAAGTGCATGCGAGGACAAACAACTAGCAAATGAGCAGCCTGAGTGTGAAACGTTGAGCATGAATGACAATATATAAGGGGTTTGGTTCCATTCCTAGGTCTTGAAATCAAGAGAAGGTGCTGGCTTGAAGACTTTCAGATGAAGAGAGGTTTAAAGGTAGATCAATTAGGTCTTTTCTTCTTCTTCTTCTTACTCCTTAGTACAAATAAGGTATGCACTAAACTAGTTATCTTCTTCCCCTATCTCCATGACAGTACTATGAATCTTTGAATCTATGGTTCATATTATGCATGAAGACGTGATTAGGTGGTTTTATTAGGACTTTAAGGATTAGATTTTCCTTGCAAGAGCAATCCAAAATTTACAAGATAATTTTAAGATAATTATTTATAGTTTTTATCCTTTAATGTTATGGAATTATTTTGGAATATTATGATTAATTATAATCTAAATTAAAAGAGTGAATAAAGGAATTAAATACAAAATGCCCTATTATTAGTTTTTATGTTTAAAATGCCATATAGGAGCTGGTTATAAGTCATAACCCTACTAATAATGATACATTATGCATGTTGAAGCAAATTGAGTTTAGGATTTGAAGCATAAATAAAATATGGATTATTCATATATTTTAATAAAAGTTAAATAAAGGGAACAAATTGTGAATAAAAATTGAAATTAATAAATTTTATGATTCACAAAAATTTCAAGTAAGCTAGTCAATATGAATGTCTTACAAGTACTCAAAATTTTTTATTTATAGATACTAAACTAAGAAGATCAACATTGAAGGACAAATTGGTGAACTAAGTTTTCTAAAGCTAAAGTGGGTAATCCCATATTCCCATTTCTAAGTAGTATTATTTTCTTCCTCTAGACCAATTGCATTCGGAATTTCCCTTGTTTATTAGCATGTTTTTTTCCAATTAAATGTTCATTAAGCAAAGGTTATAATTGGCCATGTATATTTAATGAAATTATTCATAGTGCTATAAATAGAACATATAATGTTGCACCATCTCTGAATTTTATAAATCTCATAATGATTTTAAGGCTACGCCTATGATTTTAAATATCACATTAGTTGTCTTTGATTCCAAATGCCATGCTATTGTTATGTCCATAATTTAAAATGATATGTTATTGATATGCTTATAAAGTATCAATCCAAGTTAAAAGCTCCTACAAATAAAGCAATTGCATGCAAAGATCTATGCAAAGAAAAATATATAAATATAATGCTTCCATGTGCATTTTTATAGATTAAGGCCCTCCTTATGGTACAAGCTAAGAAAGTAATGAGAAAGGACAAGGGACCTCGTGGGGCATATGGAAGCTATTATTCATTATGTAAGGAGGAAGAATCAAAAGAAGCTATTTAATTGATTATGAAGATTTCCTAATTGTGTTACGATGTTTATGAAGGGTTTATTTCTTTAGGAAATATTTCCTAAATTATATTTAAATTATTTAGGAAGTGATGCGAGCTAATTAGACTAAAAAAAAATCAAAGGAGAACACTAAGGAAAGTAGAACCTGACTCAATTCAATACTTAGTAAGCCAACACCAAACAAACTTCAAAACAAACGGAAATTATACAATGAGAAAACTTAAATTAAAAAAAAAAACTACCCTCAGAACAACCAGCTAGTGGTCACTTTACATGCATCACAATAGTAGGTAAAATGATTAGTGCTCAAAAACATGCAAACCAGTGGTCCGCCAAAGCAAATTTGGGCCAATGTCCACCACAAACTCCTCCGACAAATGCTAACAAACCGGCTAACCAACACCTTCAAATGCTTTATAAGAGATACAAATGGGGTGAAAACTTGCGGATAGAAGAAATAGATAAGAAGCCCGAGACAAAATTATAGAGAGGAGAAGAGAAGGGGTACATAGCTTGCAAGCTATCAAAGAAGAAACCCTCATGTCTTAGTGTTTTTCACTCTCTCCTCCCCCAACAGCCACAAAAACTTCCCTTTTATAGCCACAAATGAGAGACCAAAAGACAGCATCAATCCCCCCAAACAGCCAACCAACAAAAGGAAAAAAAAAGGTTGCATTTAAGGCTCCCAGAAACTGAACCACCACAATCAGGAACCGAGGGACCCATGCAGAGGAACCGAACATCCAACCCAAGCAACCAAGAACCTGCCAGCTCCCAAATAGACCAAACCCACATGAATCAAACCCAAATCAGCCCAAGTACAACCACCACAAAGAAGCTAGCACACCAAAGACTTGTCATGTCCAAGAGCACAACCCACTCATGATCATTGATTGCCTTCCATCATAGGGTAGAAAAACATATAAAAACATAAAATTCAAATTATAATAAAGTCCAAATTAAAAATAAAATTGAAATGAAGTTTGTTGCATCAATTCCCCTCTGGTGGGAGAATCTCATCTCGTGATGAGAAAGCTTCAACAATTCTTTGATAAAGATCGGGATGACGATTTTGTAGCTCCACTGCATCCATCCAAGTACAATCAGTCAACGGACGGCCGCTCCATTTAACTAGGAATAGTTGGTGCTCTCCATGCCTAGTCTGAGTAGTCCTAATATCCAAAACATCTTCAATCCGGTCATCCTTGCCCTGAACGGAGCTGGTAACTGGTAAAGTCTCCATATCCATAGAATTAGCTGGATTTCCACTCATCACCAAGACCTAATCCTAATTTGATGATACCCACTTCGCAAATCAATTTTAGAAAAAAATTTCGCACCACTAAGCATATCAATCATATCATCTAGCCTAGGGATTGGAAACCTATATTTGATGGTTATCTTGTTTATGGCTTGGCTATCCACACACATTCTCTAGGTTCCGTTCTTTTTGGGTGTAAGTAATGCTGGCACAGCGCATGGACTCATACTTTCCTTGATTAGACCCTTATCTAAAAGTTCAGTCACTTGTTTATATAATTCCTCATGTTCAGTAGGACTCATTCGATAATGAGGAAGATTGGGTAATGTTGCTCCATGGATTAAGTCAATGTGGTGTTGGATATCTCTCATTGGGGGTAAAGCTTTTGGTAGTTCATCAGGGGTTATGTCAAAA